TCACACAGACTTTCCAGTGTGTGTAAATTCGAATCCAAGCCCTATTCTTTACTGGACAGAGATAAGAGGAAAGGGTCTGCAAGAAGATCCCCAGTCTCCTGTCACTGCTGTATGTGTCCAGTATCATGGTGTGTTTGTGTTATGGCTTGGAACTGACCCTCCAAAACTCAGGGGTTGAAGGCTCAGTACCCAATTGGTTCATAGGACTCGGATGTATTTATCTGTTCACTCATTTATTGAGGGTACTAAGATTTGAACTCAGGACCTTGTGATTCCTAGGCCGGTTCTCTACCAGTTGAGCTATGCTCCAGCTTCCTGAGGTCTCTGATGTAATCAGTGGGTGTATTCATTTTATGGCATTATTGGGAGGTGGTAGAAGTTAGGAAAGGAGATATCGTTGGAGGGAGCAGGTCAGTTGGTGTGTATTTGATGAGTGTGTCTTGCCCTTGACCTCCTCTTGTTTCTCTCTCTGCTTCCTGGCTGCAGTGATCTGAGCATCTTTGCTCCACCACATGTTTTGCACCATAATGGCTGCCTTAACCTAATCCACAGTCCAGAGCTTGGGTTCAGCCACAGGCCCAGGTGAGTGGACTTTTGAAACTTATGAAATTAAGCTAATCTTTCCTACTTTAAGTTGTTTATGTCAGGAATTGTTACAGTGAAAAACATACAGTTTTTCTCACAGGTTATATGAATGTTGAATAGTTTCAAATTCCTGAGACATACTGAATATAGATAGATAAGACTTCATCTCAACAAAGTATGTTGTCACTGATATTTGAATAGTCATCAGGTACTTTCATGTTCCCATTGATTTCTCTAGAACTGAATTAGGTTAATGTATTCCTTGGATCCAAAATAGACATTCCAAAAGATAAAATGCATACAATGTAAGACAATGATCATAGCTAATTCAATATTGAAGGTTCTCAGTCAAACCTACATCCAATTCTTCTCTGAACAAACTTAGAGCTCTCTCTACTTTAGATGAATAGAGTCTTCTGAGCAGGGCAGTTTTGGGGCTAGTTTAGATTGTCTAATGTAGATTGTGTTTGTCCATTCCCAACTCTGCTCTGAGTGAAGTGGGCAATTGGCCAAGATGGAAGCTTTTATACCACTAATATTAATTTTCTACAGTTGACATTACAAGATACTGTAAAGTGGGTGCCTCTGAACAACAAAAACATCTCCCTTTCAAATTAGAAAAGTCAGAGGTCTAAAATTCAGATATTTATATATTTATAGGACCTTGTTCCTTCTGAGACTCTGGATAGAATTCTTCTTTACCTCTTCTTCTCCCTGCTTCCAATAGTGGCCATCAATCCTTGGCATTTGTTGGCTTGCAAACATGCCACTCCAGTCTCTGTCTTTGAGATCTCAAGGCATCTACCTTCATGTCTTCTCTTTGTATGAAATTACCAGCCATAGGGAATAAGAGCCCACCTACTCTAATTTGAGATGACCTCATTTTAACTAATTATATCTGCCATGACACATACAGTCACATTCTAGTGTACTGGGGCTCAAAATTTCAGCATACATTTTGTGGGGATGCAATTCAACTTAAAATATGGAAATCAGACAATGATACAGATTAAGGATTTAAAAAAACATTAAATGTAAGGTGTTTGTAGTTGAGTTTCAGCACATCAGTGCATTATTCTATTACCTATTGAGAGAGGGCCATTCATCACAAATAGCACTTGTCTGTGGGAATCTTTTGTTTCTCATTAGAAATTTTCCATATGCAGTCATTATTCAGTCTATCTGGGAGATCAAAGATATAATATGAATAATATGAGGTAAGCACCATGATAAGTAGCTGTACTAATGTGTCTGTTTGAGGAAGAATGTATGTTCAGTACCAGAGAGTTTTTTACAAATATCTTTGGGCTGCAGTGGATAGAGCTGCATGTGTAGGTCTCTCAGGACATGAGAAGTGACTCTATTCTAAATGGATTAGACTTTTTCTCACAGGTAACAGTTAAAGGGAGACAACATGCTGATTTCTTTGCCACTCATTTCTTAGTTTCAAAATATTTTCTTTATGTATTTCCATCATAGAAAAATATGAAAAAAATACAGAAGAGTTGAAAAAAGAATTTCAAACAAATGATCAGAAATATAAGTCATGCCATTGAACCTCTCTGAGAACCAACCCCTTATTACTTGGACATTAGGGGGACATTTTCGGTACAAACTACAGAATAATATGTACACTCATCCTCTCTGCCCACTAAATTGTAGGTACTTGGGAGTTTTCTGTGTTACCTTTAACTTGTATTCTTCAATTGGTGCAGCATATTTCATCCTACTGATTCATTACAGCCTATGTCATTGATTTCCTGTTGCTGACTTTTATAGGGCATTTTCAGTCTTTCATGATTATAACCATGAAGCAATGAAAACCATTCTTCATGTCTCTTTCTGCATAGATGTATACTTTTTCTTCAGGATAAATAAAATGAAGCAGGATTTCTGAATTGAAGAGTATTTAGGATTTTAACATTATGCCAATATGCTTGAAAACTGTGGAGTTACACTGTGAGGGGAGGAAGGTTGAGTTCAAACTCCAGTACTGCCAAAAAAGAAGGGAAGGGAAGGGGAGGGAAGGAAAGGAAATGGAAGGAAAGGAAAGGAAAGGAAAGGGAAAGGAAAGGAAATTAGCACCTGGTTCTAATTTTTGAGGTAGGGCTTCACTAACTGGTCTTGGCTGGCCTGAAACAATAATCCTCCTATCTGGGCCTCTAAAGTAGCTGGTATTATAGACATACTTGTAATTGAGGCAATGGCCTTTTGGAAACTAATACCTCACTGATGGATCAGCAAGGGAACTAACACACAGGAGAAAAGCCTGTGTATTGCAATGGCACTAATAACATATATTATTGAGATTATGGTAGCATAAGCCAAATTAGAGAGTTTAGCTAAATGAAGATCCTATAAGTAGAGTCTATTCTGTTATGAAACACAAAGCAAAAATTAGTTTGGAACAGATAAACTGAGAAAATGAAGTAAAATGTAGACATAGATAAAAAAAAAAAAAACCTTGAAGGAGATAGTCAAAGTGCTTGACTTCTTTGATGACAAAAAAAATTATTTACTTTCGTGTGTGTGTGTGTGTGTGTGTGTGTGTGACACATGCATGCTAGTTCTGGGACTTGAACTCAGGGCTTACACTCATACGGCTATGTCACTCAAGGCTGGCACTCCACCACTTAAGCTGTACCTTCACTTCCAGCTTTTGAAATAAGAGTCTAAAGGTCTGTCCTGTGCAGACTGGCTTTAAACTGGCCACTATCCTCAGATCTCAGCCTCCTACTTCTGCTTGGATTATGGACATACGACAGTGGTGCTGGGCTAGAATAATAATTGACTAAGCAACTAGGTACTGTGGTCTAGTCATACTAACATATGAAATTAGTCATTACAGTTGGACAATAATGTGGACAGTGCACACACTTCCAAGAAAACAGAAGGGGACAAATAGATATATATGTACGTATATGTGTGTGAGAAATGAAAGTCTGTGCAATCTAGAAAACATAGTGGTCTGTAAAAAATAACCCAGAGAACCTAAACAGGTTAATCAAAATACCAAACACAAAGTTAACATTAAAAAATACCATACTATTTATATATGTTAGCAACAAACAATTGGGAATTGAATATTTTAAAGAAGCATCTGCTTTCTTCTTTTCTTTCTTGAAAGAGAGAGAAGGGGGAAGGAAAGATGAAAAGAGGAAGGAAAGACTTAAAGTAAGCATGAGAAAGTATTGTGGATCTATGATGTTAAAATTTTCTTATATATGCTTTTTTATATGTCTTTTTTAACCAAAAAAATAATACTACTTGGTCCTTGAAAAGAAGAAAATACATAAGTTTCGAAGGTTGCAATCACTTCACCTAAGAAACTAAATAAAGAATTTATTAAAAAGAAAACTAACCTTTAATATGAAACATTTTTTTTAAAAAAGAAAACAACCCTTTAAAAAAACTTTTTAAAATGATCTCTACAGGGGGCTCTTAATGCAGCTTGTAAGCTTGTGCGTTCCATGATCAATGTCACCACCCTGCTCTATTTGATTCCTTGTAAAAGACAGCTTTTTTTTTTCTTAAATGTTTTTATTTTTTCGGGTAAAGTGTAAGCCTTAAGTGTCTTAAGGGAAAGGCCCCGGAGTCCGTGCTGCTTTGCTTTGCTCGCCCGTCTTTCTTACTCCTCTTCTGTCGTGGTCTCCGGTGTATCACATTTGAACTCACTCTGTCCACTTGGGGGCTATCTTGGTCCATCTTGAGATCCACAGTAAGATGAAGTCGCACCCAATTCCCAAACCAACTCTCCAAGGCGACCAGAATTCATAGAGAACATTCTTCCGAGGTGAAGTGAAGTCTTGAAACCGGGCCACCCGACTTCCGCACACCCTTTAACGTATGTCATTCAAGAGAAACTACAATCCCATGGAGCTCTGCTCTCACCGGCCAACATTTCCCGCCTTGACTACTACGCCTGCGCACTACGGGGCGCGAACTACAACTCCCAGGATGCACCCTGCCACCGTTTGCGTCACCCTGCTTCCTGCTAGGGCGGTTCCGGATATCTGATGGTTAGTGGCTCGGTGGAGCCTCAGGAAAACTTGGGGTGGAAGGGGTAAGACCGCTGTTTGGGACGGTGTTGGGAGCAAAGCTTGTTCATGTGCGGGAAGAGGGACTAAAACAAACAGTAGCAGGCCACAGCGGACAACAACAGAGACGTCTGCCTCGTTTTTGTGTGTGCACAGATCTTGTGTTTGAGAGAGGCCTACCACAGTGTGGTTCGCCTTTGCTCAGTACCGGCGAGGATGAGGATGAGGAAGAAGAAAGAGAATATGGCAAGTGTGTCGAGAGTTCAGGGCAATTAGAAATGCCGGATAACCCGGGAGCCAGTGATTCATGCCTATAATCTAGCTACTCAGGAGGCTGAAGCCCAACACTGACAGACAAATTCAAGAGCCTCTTATCTCCCCATTAATCAGCAAAAACAGAAGCGGAGCTGTGGCCCGAGTGGTAGAGTGCCAGCCTTGAGCAAATAAGCTAAGAGGCAATCGCCTTTAGTCTGCTTTATTTAGAGTCAAGGTATGTGGACAGGTCTGTAACATTTGCCGTTCTTCCTCCTCCTAGCCTTCTCTTGGTACTTACCGTCTTTCAACTCCCATTGTATTTATTTCTTACGTTTATTGTCTTTTTGGCACTCGAATTCTAGTTCCCCAAGGAAAGAGATTTCAGTTTATGTTGTTTTCAGATGAATCCTTAACACCTATGACAGTACACAGTGGGATCTCTAAATCTTTGCAGATGACTGAATAAAGTATTAAAGTGAGCATTCAGTAAATACTTGTCGAATGAGTGTGAAGGGCTGGAGCTCATTGCAAGGTATTCCTGAACGTCCTCAAAAAAGGTGACAGGAAAAGGATGGAAGGATAGCAGATTGAAGGGAAAATAGGGAGGAAGTTCAGTGTGATATCTATGAAAAGGAGGAATTTAATGAATCAGTATACACTGTATATAGAAATGGGTGTTGGTTCCTTTTACACACACACACACCTACTTAAGTATGGACAGAGTAATCTTGATTCTCAGTCTCTTCTTTGTAAATCAAAATACTAATGCTACCCGTATGGAGTTAATACCAGTGGGACAGTGTAAATGAACATAGGGTTTAGCATAGGGCCAAGACTATAGTGAGCATTAATGAAGAAGCAGTGCTCTCATTATCATTACTGTTCAATATTAAACTGGAGGACTTTGTAAGAATCACTGACATGAACTAAAAGTTCAATTATTGAATTTAAAAGTCTAGCCTGTGAGGTTGACATACTAAAACTGTTTTTTTTTTTTTTTTGGTCGGCCGTGGGGCTTGAACTCTGGGCCTGGGCGCTGTCCTTCAGCTCTTCAGCTCAAGGCG